AAGTTTGTGCTACATCAATTACTTTTTTTTTTTCAACATATTAGGTGTGAAAGGACAATTCCAATTTGAACTAAAATCTATAGGAGGAACACTTGTTTTGATGAGTTAATAATTATTTAAATATCTTGTTTTTATTACAAGGTTTAAAAAGAATGAACATAGAAAAAATATTTATCATCTTTTGCAATAATAACATACCATTAGTAACATATGAATGATGGTCAAGCAATCTTAAGAAATTTTAAATGTTCATCTTATTAATTTTGATGATAATCACATCTTAAAAGAGAGTAAATTATATTTCTTATGTTCAATTCATATAATGCAAAAATTAAAATAAAAAAACAACAACAAGCAACCCTTGCATGATAAAATTATTGACATAAGAAATATAACATGTGATTCTGTCCGATCTCAGTAGTTTAATCTTCAATTATCCTTTGACATCATTTTCTATCAATATAACAAAAAGACCTAACTTAAGAAGGAAGACCTTAATTTGCAATGATGTGGAGAAAACGATGGCAACGGTATTCATGGCTCTGAGAGGTGGCCATAATTTACTTATTTTATGAGAAAAAAAATGAATTGATCACCAAAATTGACAAATGACAAATACATAGTAGAATAATTCCTTTATCAAAGATCAAATTTTTGGGCAGTTAAATAATAAAGAACAAAAAAGTTTGTCAAGGTAAATCATCTAAAAACATATATTTTGACCAACTAATAGGTGGTTAGTAGATAAAATAAAAAAAGCTCCACTCAAAGAAGAAAAAATTAGTCGACTAAGAAGTGGTGATAATTAAAATTAGCAATGTTTTGAAAGTGAGCTTGCTTGGATTTCATGAAGTTGTAAGAGTTCTTTAATTTTCCTTGGTTTTAAAGTTTCAAATATATAACATGAGTAAACTTATCACTAATTCTTAGTTCTAATAGGTATTTCCATCACTATCAAAAGATATACCTTTTTTTCTTTATTAATAACAACAAACACATTATGTTGCTCATTTCTTTAATTAGAAACTAATTGAATGATCTCATCCTAGGATTAGCTAGATAGACACATCCAAATTAGTCTCAAGTTAAGAAGCTGATGGCTTGCACAAAATAGTGCAATGGTAGTCATAAACAGTATTGTTTTCAATTTTTTAATTAAAGGTAACTTTTAGAAGCTCATAATGTCTTTAACCATACTAAATTTACATTTCAATGGCGTAAGGATAAATTTGTCCTAAATAATCTAAGAAGATCTAAGAATTCATACATTAGTTCTAACAAAAAAAGGTTTCAATGTGGTGCAATGTTTGCATTGATTTGTCCCTCTCCTTAAGAGTAATTCATATTATAAATAGTATATTAGTTAAAATTTAGTGAGAGGAATTATGCATGATAAGCAACCATTTTTCGGACAAAAGTTTCATTTTCATGATAATAAATTCAACGTTGCAAATGCTTCATGATTCAAAAGTCTAACTCTATAAGACGCAAAAGCTTTATGAATTCTTTGGTTAAAACACTTCTTAAAATCAAATTTCTTACAAAGTGAACAAACAACCAGGAATGGATGTTATGAATGTAACTTCTTGCAAACCAACGAACCCATCCCGACGAGGCAAAAAACTTGCATAAATTAAAACTATTCATGATAGGAAAAAAAATATTAGAGGAATAGTTGATATTAAATTTACTCCATTTCTAATTATGAGAAAAAAACGTATAGTAATGAGTATGGGAAAAAAATAATTATAGTGAAAAAAAATATGACATTTATATGGGTTTAACGATTGATATCAATATCTGCTATCGGGAGAGCAAATAATACTATTTTGTTATTCATCAAATTGTTACTTTCATAATTCATTAAATTGAAGTGGAAGACAATGAGGAAATATTATTAGAAATTGAGCATTTTTTTTTGGAGCTTTTCTAATGGATTCCAAAAAAATTCACCAACTATTGATGCCCATTGACAACAAACAAGTAATAATGGCATTTACCATTCATTGTTATTAACCATCAATTGATATTGACATTCATCCTACCATTGATGAAAGACATAAGCATCACTAATGGTAAAGAGAGCACCTCATTATAACTACAATCAACATAATTGTATTATTTTAGTGAAGTTTGGGTTGTATGCTTGTAGTTCTAAAAATTTTCTTATTAAAAATGTGTCTCCTATAACCAAAAAGCTAACTAATCTATTTGGTGTGTGTGTGTGTGTGCGAGCGCTCACATGTGTGTGCTTGTGTACGTCTGTGTGTCTGTGTTTGAGCGTGATAGTAGAGTGAGGGTCTCACATTGTTACTATTCATGAAAATCTTGCACACAAAAAGAAAAATGAAAGTGTATAAAAAATTCTACAGTTTATCGTAAAAACTCATCAAGAAAAGAAATTGCAAGGCATGACTTGGACAAATAATTCACTATGTTGGCTAAGATATTCTTTCATTTAATTGGATAAATATGGCATATAAAGTAAAGCATTCAACACTAGTTTATTCTCAAGGGGATTGAGGTGAAAATGTTGGGGGTGAATATGGTACCTTTAATTGTTAGTGATGTTAATATGACAGTGATGAAAATTAACCAATGGTGATGGGTAGTAGTAATTATCCGTGTTGGTTGTTATATAAAGATCAATAGTTCATCAATTTTTTTTGTATTTCAATATCACGTCTCATATATGTAATAATGAGTTTGAATTTATAAATTTTCAAAGCGACATTTTAACTCAGAGAACATTGCATTAGATAGCTTGTATTATTTTCTCATATTATAGATCATTTATTTAATAGTTTGATCCTTTTTTGTTAAAACCTTTTTTCTTAAAGAAATTGTGAGAACCTTTTATTAATGAAAATAATTGAGATTTTTATCGATCACTATAGAAAATGTTGTGAGAACCTTTCTCTTAAATAGTGACACCTAGAAACTACTAAATAAAGCATCAATAGGCATAAGGTGGGACATCATATAATATTTTATACTTCTTAGAGGAAATGGAATATTCAAATATTAATCTCTCTTTCATATTTCCCTATCGCTTTTTTCTCTCCCCTTCTATTCTCTTTGTTCATCATATCTCACATTGTATCTTTTATTAGGGTTTAAATCTTGCCCAAAGTTGGATTATGGGTGCAAATGGGCCGACCGCGAGCAAGCATAGGCTTAGCTCGTGCTCGGCTCGTTAAAAAAAATCATTATTTATGTTTGACTCGTTTATTTTTTCAACAAAGAATGTGTTTGTATTCGGCTTGTTTTCTTAACGAGCCAAACACAAATTGTTCATGCACAAAGAGTCTTTTTGACAACCTGAGTCACAAAACCGTAAGTTGTTAAGGTTTAAGGTGAAATTTAAATCTTATTATTTATATTAAAAATCATGTAAATATAATTTAATTTATTTTTATTCTATTTTTTAATTAATGATTTGAATTGATTATAAATTAGTTAATGGATGCATTCTAATTAAAAAGTACCAAGGGTCCCAAGTATTTAAATATGAATATATAATTGTTTCGAGCCAAAACGAGTCTAGTACGAACGAGTAAATCTTTACTCGTGTTCGGCTCGTTAACTTAGCGAGTGAATAAAACACAACTTTTTAACGAGTCAAACACGAACTATTTTCGAACAACGAGCCATTTTGACAGCACTACTCAAGATATTCCTTCTAAATTTATCATCATCATCATCATCATCATTATTATTATTATTATTATTATTATTATTATTATTATTATTATTATTATTATTATTATTATTATTATTATTATTATTATTATTATTATTAGTATTATTAATTGACAAGTGCACTTAATGGAATCATGCCTAACTCGCCCCAGCATTATAAAACAACTTGAATGGTCTCCTTTCCCTGCGAAATTTTATTAGGTGAGCTAATCCACGTACATCTAGAAACTTTCAATTGTCCTTATTATGCATTATTATATGCAATCAGTCTTAGAAAATTTCTTAAAGCTGAATAAATAAATAAATTTTACTATTTAGAACAAGTCACATAATAAATTTATAGTCTTAAAATTATCGAATAGCCGACGCCTATTATAATATATTTATCTTTTGTATATAAAACTAAAAAACATTAGAACCTTAGAAGAAGATTTGCTTCCCTCATGCCCCCCTTTCCTATCTATCGATCAGGCTGCACTGCTCACCAACGTCTAATTCTTTCACTAAAATTTTAAATAAACTAGTTAACAAGCTATTTCTTCTTCATCTTTACTAAAGGATGAATCTTTTAATAGAACTAATATGATTTATGAATAAAATCGTAGGCAAATATCATGACTTCAACGTGCAACATAAGAATAAAAACATTTCATTAATTGGTGTGCCTAAAATGTTTTTTTTTTTAATTTTTTTTTTTTTTTTTTTTTTTTTGACCAAAAAGCACGAAAGAGAAAATAATTTATTTAATTAAAATACTGAGTGTAAAATTAAATCCAAGATAACCAAGCGTTATTTTAATATTTTTTTAATATTGAGTGTAAAATTAAAATACTCAAATAACTATTTATGTCACTCACATATATTTAGGATTTTACTCAATTTTTATCGGTAGGTGAAGGATATTTCTATACATTTATCTTAATATTCATGATACATTGAAAGAATTGAACTTTTAAAAAAATTATTCTTATATATATATATATATACATACATATATATATATATATATAATTTGAGGCACGTATATAGTACTTAAATAGTTACTATATCTCATTGAAAAATAATATTATTATCAATTAGAAAAAGTGAAATACATTTTTCCTAGTAGACGAAAAAAAAAAAACATCAAAGTTTTATGTAGCTATGAAAGTATAGATGTGAGATATGCAAATACATTTGTGTAGCTACATATAAATTCTTCTAATATTTTTACATTATATTCTTATTAATATGAGATTAAATCCTTTTTTATATCAAATTTATTATTTGGCATGCTTTTCTAAGTGCGCATATTTGACTTGAAAACAGCATTTCCGTCGCAATCAAACATATTCCTTCACTGTCCCACCAGTTACGTAACATACAAGCTACCATGAAGAAAATTCAAAAGAATTAACCCCGACCAAATAGCTCATTCAGAGCATACCAAAATCATAAAACCATAATAAAAGTAGCCACATATTCATCATAATCTACACATCATCACCTACTTACATCATAATCATCATCATCATCATCAACATCATCATCCATTAAAAGTATACCCATGACCAATCCCATCCATGAAGAACCCCGGCATCGCATGCCCATCATCCATCCCAGTTCCCATCACTCCATACCCCATATGCATCCCATCTTCCTGTTGCTGTTGCTGTGGCGGCATGTACTCATAGTACTGCCGTTGCTGTTGCGGCATGGCGGCAGGTGGCTGTTGGGTAGTGTTCTCTGACCCGAGCCGGAACCCGAATCCGTCGGTATTATTGTACGGTCCGGTCGGCACGCCGGTGAATTGCTGAACCATGGCTCGGAAGTTTGCTGTATCGGTGTTGAGTAGAGTAGTGGGGGCGCGACGAGAGGCCCTGGAGCGCTTGCGCGGAGGTGCTTTTCCGGCGGAGCGGAGAAGGCCGTGGACCCCTCCGCCGGCGGCGGCTGGGGAAGCGGGGG